AAATAAACATGTTGTGAAACACTTCGCTGTAGGGTCAGCCTACAGTCTTGTGGTCTTGCACTTAGTCTTGTTCCTGCCCACAGGCGTTGAATGTCTGACCTTGATTTGGTGTGTTTCAAATCTGGGCTTGTTAGTCCTGTTACGTGTTAAACAAAATACCCGTGTTTTGCAACACTTGAACTGATAACCTACCCCTTTTGTAGACTGAATGCAGACTAATTAATTGCAAACGGCTGGCCATCCAATTGTAATCCTCCAGTATGTACTCACATAGTTCACTTTAGGTTCTGTTTTCTTGCTGTCTGCTAACTCCTTCCTTCAGTTCTAGAAATCACCAACAAGTTTGTATAAACCATTTTGGTATCTCAGCCTGACATAGCATACTGCCTGTTGCATCAGCAACATTTTTACATTTCCTAGAGACCCCTCTGTTGAAGAAACCTGTTCCCTCAGACTCTAAAGCACTTCTGTGAGATCTGTAAGAGTTGCTAGAGACGTTTATTCATAATCGGGGGCTACCTTTAAGAAGCTGGTACAAGAAATGCTTCACTGGGTGAGGCACACTGGCAGAGAGAAGATCATATTTATGAAGAATCTGTACAGGAAAACCGAAGATCAGAACTTGCAGTCTGGTGGTCCATGAAGACCATGCCTCTTTTGGTGCAACTTTACTCCAAGTTCAAAGTCTGTTTGCATGCTAGGTGAGCATTCATCTTCAGTTGATGACAGTATTTGGTCAAGGGAAAGAAAGAAAAATGGTGGAAGGAGGGCAGCCAATGACACTACTGGAACCAAAAGATAAAAGGCAGGTGCTCTCTGTTTTGGAGCCCAGCCAGAATGAAGTTGGGCTGCAGATCCCAGGCTGTCTTCCGAGAAGAAATGGCAAGAGAGGAAAAACTTGGAAAAATTGGAACTGAAGCAACTGGGTAAGAGGCAAACTGCTGCCTTTACTGTAATTTTGTGGAATATTTTACAAAATAAGGGACAGTCTTGCCTGCTTTTTGACCAGTTTCTGTACTGTAGTGAGCATGATCTGTGCTGTGGGGTGGTCTTCTCGTGCATACTTTCAGTTTGGGCAAAGGACCCTGTATTTTCACCGTTCCTAGTTTGTCCCATTTTCTAGGCAATGCGTGGTTCAGCACAGATGCCATGCCTGAAGAAAATGCAGGTGATTTATTGTGGATCACTCTGCTGCAGATATGTGAAACAAGAACAATTTATACAAGGGGAAGAACACTCATAAACTCATAAGTCACAAGCGCATGTGTATGTATGCATGAACTATTCTAAGAAGCTGATAATAACCGGGGGGATTATTAACCCCTTGCATGACCTATCCTTGCATTTTGTTCTTCACACTTTCAGATAGGTCACACAAATAAAATATCTATAGGTCATGCTATTGCATTTCAAAAAGGGCTGGGAAAAGTGAAGATACATTTCTGGTTCTTTTATATGAGTGCATCTTTCTTAAACATCCTGTTTGTTTCAGCTAGAATTTTAGTCCGATCTAAATGATAAGTCGCAATAACTTTTTTTTTTGTAGCTATAGAAGCTACAGATCCTTCAGAAATTCCTAGCCGGTGTTAATATCCATATCTTTCTAACAGAGCAAACTGAACAACTGATGATTTTTAGGCTTGTCACTGAAGCATATTAGTGGGTAGGAAATAGCAGAAACTGCAGCAGAAATTTACTATGTTCAACATGGACCATAAATTGGATTTTTTGGCAAATTACTTATTTCCTCATCTGAGAATACATCGCAGCTCTATTCATTCACTCTTTCGTTTAATTTCCTCATCAGGTTTAGGAGAGCAAAGAGCTCTAGAGAGGGAAGGTTTACTTAGAAAAATATTTTTGTTTCCTTCTGATAGATTTTTCAGCATGTTCATATCTAGCAATCTCTCTGTGGCCTGAGCTAATGTTAAAATCACATAACATTCACCTTATGCTTCCATCTATCAAGCTCACAAGAGCCAGTTTTTCACTTAAAACCAGAACATCTGTAAGACTCTTGCTACTGTTTTTTGGAGAGGAACAGGTGACAGAACAAATAATAAAGAGACGAAAGAGAATGCATTTCCCAAGGACATGAAAGCTACAAAAAGATAACAAGACAAACATTTCTGTTTTTTGCCTAGACACAGAACTGACCTGTTGTTTTCATTGCTTTTCAGGGTCATTTAGCTCAGCAGACACAAGGACCCAAAGACACAAAGAAGAAATGCAGATGGTTAATGGATGAGAAACCATGGGCACAGCAGCAATCTCTTACTTAAGGATGGAGGCAGCAGCAGAGCAATCTGCTGGAATGAGAAGGGACTAATGAACAAGAGGCAGAAGTGGCCACCCCTACACATGGATGAAATCCGAGCTATTTCTGTGTTTTTTTTTTTTTTCCCTAGTATTGTAGCTGCATCCAGTGGACAGTTGTAGGAGTAGAACATGCCTGTTCGTGGCTGATGCTGTTCCTGAGTGGAAAAGCATGCAGAATCCTATGAATTCTGCTTATTACTGTATGATGCATGGGTAGTATTAGACAAAAGCTTATTTCATGCAGTCCTGTCTTCCGTGCCACCATCCTGACGCTTAAACCTTTTTTTTTTTGACGTTAACCTACGGTTTCAAAGAATAGACTAGTATTAATTAACAGTAGCTTCAGACACCCATCAGTACTATTGTTATTTGATGAGAATAAAATCTCTGCTTTTCCTATTGTGAAAAAAACAGTGTTTCTACTACAACTCTGCTTAAGTTACACCATGAATCCCATGCTGATGTTCATGAATTTCCTGCCACTGTGAACCAAGACTTGCATCACAGGAAGGCCAGTTTCCTTCCAGTTTGCAAAATAAGTGTATCAGCAATGAGGGTATATAGCTTTTCATATTGGAAAAGCTTTCTTGGGATTTGGTGGTACTCCAGTTTTGGGGATCTCGAACCTTGCATTCCCTTTTCTGGCACTGAACTTCTCTCTGTCCCACCTCCTGTACTTACTGTTTGATTTCAAAAAATATAAAACTGTAATGTTTTTAATTCATAGCAACATTTAATATTTAATTATTTTCTAGAAATAATGTTTTTCTGTGTCAGACTGACTGCGATAAGTGAAAACCAACCTTGGTTGGGATGAAAGGGAAGAATTGCTCATCGCTCTGGTGTGCATAATCTAGTGTCAAGGACAAGTAGGCACTAGTAATAGGGAATGGGGACAAGAGGATATTAGATATCTTGGACCCTTGAAAACAGAAGGATGATTTTTGACTGCAGGATCCTCTGCCAGCTCATATGACGAGAACAAGTCATAATGAACGGTTGTAGCTTTGCTTGATTCAGTTCACTGGCGTTACATAGGCATCATATATCCTAAAGTTATGGTTAGTGACTACTAATACAGTGTTTAGGCAGAACTGTAATGTCACTTCTTATTACTCTGCAGGTATTAGCAGCTTTAAGGATTAGAGGTGCTCACAATGGTGCTAAATAGGATATATATTTATATGAATGGGTTAATAGAGACTCCTAACTCAATTTCTTGCTATTGTGAATTGAACTTGCCCTGTACAGGCTGAGGGGGATATAAAACAGCAATTCCAAGCCATATGTGTGATATAAGTGGCATTTTTGTGCATGAATACAAAATTGCAATCTTGAAATGCTCTGCTTGCATCTGAAGAGAGTAGTTGTAGCTGCCTTTTAAAAAAACAAGAATACCCTGGCTTACTTTCACAGTGGAACAACGGGAGGCAGATCTATACTGTGGACTGGAACATAGTGCAGAGACTCTTGAGCTAGTGGGCTCCACACTGGCTGTGGAGCAGAAGTGTAGCCGTGTCAGCAGAAGCTGACACGCTTGCACGTCCACACTTGCACGAAGGAACGTGGCTTAGGGACCAGGCTTAATGTTGTTATTAATAATTTAATGGCTGACTCATTACCTCTACCCAGTGTTGCCTTACTGAGGTCTGTCACATTACAGGAGGCAGCTCAGATCGGTTCATTCAATATCTGTCTTTCTGCCCCCCCGACAGTGTTTTCTGGTTATACAGAATTCAGTCACTGACTCTTCTGTCCCTTTGAGCCAGTGGCAGAAGAGACTGAAAAAGCTTCAACTTAGATTACGTAATGCTGTTGTGATTAAGATGTTTTCTTCAGATGTCGGGCTTGGTTTCAACTTCTCTCTCCAAATCGGATAGTGTGAGTGCGATTACAGGCATCTTCTGATCTCTTGGGCATTTGCCTTCGCTGTTGACCCAGCCCCCAAACATCTCATTTCCAGCTTTCTTTTTGTGTAGGGCCTTATCCTACAGGCCTGCTCTGAAAATGCCTACCAAGTCAGACACCACAAGTGTTTTCCCTCCTATCCCACCAGATTTGAAAATCGTGATGTCAACCCAGGGCTGCAAGCAAGCGAACAGCATCAAGACTTAGCGGGTTTTGTGCATGGCCACCTGCAGAAACTTAGATGCCCAAGGACTTAACATGCTAATAAGGTTAGGTACTGAATAGAAATGTTTAGCATCTCATTGGCACCTGAAAGCTAGACTTAGTCACCTTGGATGGATTCATCTCACCTATCTTTAGACACCCACAGTGTAGATACTCGTATCTGACTCTGTCACTGCAGCCTTGCTTTTTATTCACTGTGCAGAAATAGGCACGTTTAGGGCACGATTCATCTGACCTACTTTATACATTTACATGAAACTCATCCTTTTTTTTGACGATTTTGTGTTTAAATCCTTGTGATACCTACAATGTGTTGCCTAATGATATCTTTAAAACAATTTGTGAATAATTATGCTGTTTTAATAGTCAGATTGATTCTGTTAGTAGACTGTCAATGATGTGCCCATGTTCTTCCTATGGAGAAAAATCTTGCTTTGTGTTTAAGTAATTTAGTTTTAATTCTGATTTTCTACAGAAATTATTCAGAGGCTCCTTGTATTTGTTGGAAATTCTGATATGCCTATGGATGTTGTGCTCTTTTGCTTCAGATAAACTTCGAAGAAGCATGCCTAACCTAGCTCGGATGCCAAGCACCCCAACCATTAACAGTAATGCTAGCTTTGCTAGTTCTCCAGTCACTGTGAGGAACAGCCAGAGCTTTGATTCCAATTTACATGGAGCTGGTAATGGAATTTCAAGGATGCAGTCATGTAGTAAGTACATAAGTTCTTTGGCTCCCCGCAAGGACCAATAAAGTTGTAAAATACATGACCCAGTCACTGATCCCCTGCTTTATGAAAAACTGAAGGAAGGCTTTGTGTCCCTTTTGTGCTAGGTTTTAGTCTAGCTCAGGATTTTCAAAGTTTTTATTTTGGAAAGCAAATTCTGGCCAATTTTGTTATGCAGTTTTGAGAGTTTCATCACCTCCTTTTTTCTTTGCCCGTTCATCTTGTAGCAAACTTAAAAAATATATATATAATAATCATCATTATTATTACTATTAATGGTATAGAAGCACCAACAATGCAATTAATTCACATAAGCTTACATTTTTAGCTTTGGTATTGGATTTTAAAATGGTGCTTTTATTGGTAACGTACACAGTGCTATTTTCACAGTACACTGTATAAAAATAGTCTTAAAACATAGGACCCCTTACTGTTGAAGGTGAGCTGCTTTGTTCCAAGCAAGTGTGGTAAACAGTTAAATCTTCAAGTATAACATACCTGTTGAGTGGGAGAATGAAAATGACTCTGCAATTGGTTTAGTAAGGTAACTTCTGGATGGGGTGGGGGTAGGGATCTGGAATATTAGATGAATCATTAATCTAGAATGACAACAAGACAGATCCAGAGCCCAGCCCACCTTTTATAGCATGATGGTTGAAGTAGTCTAGCAGGAGAGGAAAAAAGTGGATTTCACTTGACAAAAGCAAGAGAAAGAATTGAACGTGCTGTGAGATTTTTAGGAGGGAGAAAGTGGCAATACCTTTTCCTGTTGGTGTTTTCTTTTGGGTTTGGGCAAAATGATTTAATTGCATCCTTCTGGGCAAATACACTTTTCTGCTTTATTTTTTTTTTTTTTTAATTTTTGCCCAGCTGTAATAGGAGAATGGAAATACCTATTTAGGTTCCCACTTTTAATTTACATGGCAGTCTGCTGAGAGTTTATTTACTATTTTTAAGATATTTTTATTCATCTATCTATTTATTTGTGGGTATATATATATATAGGTGTATAAAATGTGATTTTCTGAAATGTATTTATGAGAAACATTCCTTATAAGTGCCTATATTGTTTTTTTTTTTAAGAAGGTATGTTATAACGAGAGTTCTGTAGCAATATGTTGCCAATATTGTTTAATTGAACCACACATCCATATTCTCTCCTGTGTCTTTGAATGGATTTAAGATGCCCTTTTTCAAAGACCCGAAAAAGAATCGGTCTATATCCGGTAGTTAGTTAAAGTGCTAGAGGCTTTTGACAGTTAGCTTTTGATATGTGGACTCTGAAAGAGATGCATGTCTGATGTACACCAGAGGGCAGAATTGTGTAGAGAATCTATATAAAGATTTTGGAACTGGTATCGTTCATTTAAAATCATAGTTTACATAACAACGTCCTTGGAGTATGTTGCTGTATTCAGGATCTTTTTATATCCTTTTGGTTGTTTTTCTGTATAAAGCTTGGACATATGTTATGTTTTATAATGCTTTAATGCAACGTTCATTAAACAAGTAGTTATTACAAGCAACTTTACAAAAATCTAAGTGATCTAACAGTAATTAATTTATATCTTCAGCATTTTCTCCTGTTTAAAGATCTAATTGGAATGCAAATGGATGGATGGAAATAGTTGGAATTAGCTTACCTGCAATGGCTAATGAAACCTCTTTGAGAGGAGAAAGAAGGAAGAATAAGGGATGGGATTTTTAGTTGGTGTGGGGACGGCATAGGATATTTTATTTTGTATGCAGTGTTATTGGATCCAACTATTTTTTTCAATAGTTTATAGTTAAGAACTAAGTTGCATAATGAATGTGTCTATTTGGACCTATCTGGGAATGAACACGATTACATGGCATCACCTGTTGCATACTGACCTTATTTCTTCCTTTCCTACCACTCTTTACAGTTCCCTCACCAGCACAACTTCAACACAGAGTTCACAGTGTGGGACATTTTCCAGCGTCTGTTAGACAACCTCTTAAAGCCACTGCCTATGTAAGCCCAACTGTTCAAGGCAGTAGTAGTATTCCGGTATCCAACAATTTACAGTTATACTCTAACACTGGAATCCCAATGCCAAACAAGACTGCCAACCAAGGCATTGTAGGACGCAGTGCTCTTCCAAGACCATCACTGGCCATCAGTGGGAGTGGCATACCCAGAAGTAAAATTGCACAGCCAGTTCGAAGGTAAGAGTTAAACAGGCCTCCTTTCCTGTGTGGCTCATTTTGGCTTAGGTAGCTTTTTTCTGTTTCTCTTGAGTATGAAGCCAGGCTATAAAAGAGAAATGTTTCTAGCTCCTAATGCTGAGTTACTGAGTGGGTGAAGATTTCTTTCCACAAACAGTAAAAGGCGATGCCTGCTGCTAATTCCTAGTAAACTGTGATAATTGATAAAATCTAATTAGTTATAAATAAGAATATATTATAAGCCATCAATAAGAAATCAAAGCAGATGGAAATTTCACATCATTTCCATATATGATTCACCTTCTTCAATACTTGTGCCAGCTGCTATTTCAGGGTAACAGGATGAACGTTTTTTTGAGAGTTTCCAAATAGAGTTGCATGCCCATTGTTGTAAAAGGCTATAGACTCTCAAAATGCACTTTCTGGCGTTATAGCATTTTGAGGGAGGTCAGTAAGGTCTTGGGTTGCAACCAACATCTTTTAAATTCTATCTGGGGAACAACAGGCAAACAGAAAATCCTGAAGTATCATGTGCTTGCAATGAGCTATACTGTTAAGCAAATGCGTTCTTGCTTTTTGCAAGAAAATTTAGTCTCCAAGTTATTTTTTAGTGTAAGCAATAAAATAAGCTTGAGGAAACAGACTATGATGTAATCACCTAATCACAGCTGGGAGTTGAAATAAACTCTTAGCTGTATATTCATACGATTAGTAGGTGATGAAGTTTCTTTCAGAAACTTTTATCAGCGTGTGTGAAGCTCTTCCAAATACTTCTTCCCTTTCCATGCATCCCTCCCATTGCAAGGACCTACTGCATGACCCCTTGGTTCTGTTTTAGGTGAGCTGTCACTATTAGTCCTCTCCATTTTTCCTCTTCTTGCTTGATACTGGTTAGATCCAGAATAAGTTCAATTGCTCACGTTGTCTCTTTGGTTGAGTTATTCAGGGATTATATGTGACTGACAAGAGATTTTCACCAGCTGTGGTGAAACTTTGATAAAGAGCTGTCAGGTTGCTGCTTTGATGAACGCTGTACCATGAGATTTCTATTATAACCTTCTTTGCTCTCTGCTGGAACTCTCTCTGTTAGAGTTCTTTAGAACAGAGGTTTTTCCTTCTTTTTTTTTTTCTTTCTTTCTCTCCTCAGCTTCATGTTCTTCTGCAGAGCTCTTAAATCTTTCATAGTAAAGTGTGAGAAAGACAGACTTTCTGGGCCATGAAGACCAGTCTCTTGCTATTTTTTAACTTTTCATACAACAGACAATATTAAAGAAAAACATCATTAAGAGTTTTTAGTCAAATGGTGAAACACTCTACTCTCAACACTATTTTTATTAGAAGCTGGTACAAATCAGTAACAAAACTATTTTTAGTGCAGAAAATCCAGGCTCCTGTCTTCTCACCTTCAGCTGTACCATAGCAGTATCATATGCTGCCCTAGAGCCAGACCAATGATCCTCAAAGATAGATTGTGTTTGCGTTGTGTGAGTGACAAGTTTATAGGACTCTAAAACCACTGACAAACTGGAGCTCAGCATAGAGGTCTTTAAGATGCTGGTTTCATTTTGCTTTTTAATATGGAAAATAAAGGTGGTTTCAGTTCATATGTAATTTTCTTGGAAAAAGTTCAGCCATGAGAGGCACATTTCCTCAGCATTGGTTTTGTCACTGGTCATTTCTAATGAATGGCATTTCAGAGTATCAGTGCAGGAGTCTAGCTTCTATTAGTAGACAGAAAATTAAACAGTGTCTTTAGTCATAACTTGATTAAAAGTAGATTTTTTTTTTAAGCAAATCAGATGTTCAGGAAGAAGTGCACATTCAGAGCAAAACTTCATTTCTGTGGCCATACTGTTAGACAGCCAAGTTATTAGTATTTTAGAAACTTAAAATAGGTTGCTAGATACCTTAGATAGGCCCTGCATTATGGAACTTTGATATGTGGAGCACAAGAGTGCTCCATTGAGGGAGTGCTTTTGATCGTTTGCGGAATAAAATGGTAATGGCCAAAATAACCACCTTGGCTAAATATTAGCTGTTTTCCTCCTTGCCATCAGAGAGCTGCGTGCATCCAAAAGCAGAATAGAGAAATTGTAAGGGATACAGTCCATCTGTCCTTGGCCTTACAAGTGAAATGCTGCTATGTCTGGTGTGCGTGCATTCTTCCAATTGAATGAATCCACCCAGCCCCCCTTTCCAACTCCACGCTCCTGGCTTATTACACTTACTACAGACCTCCTTTCTCTCCCGCTTTCCTCTCCAGGAGCATTGTTTTGGGGGCATCAGGGGCTGCTTCCCATAAAGGAAAGTGAGTGGAAGCCGAGTGTGACAGCATGGCAGTCCCACAGTACCCAAACCAGAAGAACAGAGCAGTGACGGTGGCGAGGGTCAGTTCAGATCTTCAGACAAGTCCACAGTGATGTGGCAGGTCTAAGATAAGACTAGGAAGTAAGTCAGCAGGTCAGGGGCCGGATCAGTGAGGTACCAGCCAGACATAGGCATGGCTGCACCATAAATGCAGCTCCTGAGAGAAGGTGGGAGCCTTGCTCGTTCCTGCTGCCCTGCATAGGAGCAAGTCACTGCAATCTAACTACCCTAAATTGATGATGGGAGAGTAGGAAAGGACTACTGACCATCTAAAACTCTTATCTCTGACTTTATACTGTAAATTTTAACAGCTTGCGCATTATTGACACAATTTGCAACTCTTGAGCGTGTTTTCCTGTTCACTCTCCCGTAACAGAAGTTTGGTTCTGACATTTATTTTCAGTTTAGTTAATTCTCCTTTACTTTTCATCCTCTCTTTTCTCTTTTGAAGATTGTTAATCATGCTTTCCTTCATTTTCTTTCTGAAAAAAAAATGAAAGCAGCAGTTGTAGATAGATCACGTTTTCTGAAAGAAAAGGCAGGTCATGTTTTATGCCTTGAGTAGCTGATTTTTTAGTAAAGATAAGTGATACTGCAAAAAAAAAAAAAAAAGTGGAATTGCACAAAAGCAGTTTGGTTAGACCACCCTAAATTGAACCATCTCTTTTTTAAATAAGTGCGGTTTTTTGGCCACTAGAAAAATAGTTGTAGTAGAGAGGCAAGAATCTGTTCTGGTTACCGTTTTCAACTTACTAGCTCTATCTATTTTAGAACATACCTCTGCCTTCTTTCAGCCTAGGGCATTTGGAAAGAGGAGGCATCAGTAACTGGCAGCAGTTTTAGCTAAAGGCAAAGAGAAGAAGTGAATGAACTGGAAAGAAGCTTGAGAAATGTATTTAAAAAAAAAAAAGTTTTTACAGAATTGGGACAGTTTATTTTCAGCAAAATATGGCGCAAGTAAAATACGGTGGCCACATACTGTAGGTAGCCCGTCTAGCCACCAGTGAGTTGACTGTTGTATCAGAGCGGAGAATTTTTTTTCTTTGATTTGATTTGAAATAGTTAACCCAGTAGTACCAGGAAGTTTGGAAGACGGTCAGCAAACATTTTTTAATTAGTCTTCATTTATTAGGGATAAATGCAGCCCAGGAGTGTGAGTGTGGTGGTGGGGGTCCTGGAAGATAGGATCTTTCACATGAAATATGGCTTTCTTTGTCTTTTTTTTGGTCTGTTTTAACAGTTTTCTCCAGCCTCCAAAGCCTCTTTCATCACTTAACGCGATGCGGGATGGGAATTGGAGAGATGGTTGCTATTGATGAAGAATACCCAAGAACAATGGAAGAAAAATAACGTGGATTTCATTACCCAGCTGGCTGGGTAACGATGATTTGGGAAGGGAGGGTCATATGCTATTATTTCCCCAGATATTTTAATATGTAAACACCCATAATGCAATGTCATTTTTAGATAATGAACATCTTATTAAATACTAAATGTTGCACTTAATCAGTTACCTGAACAGCTATGTTGTTATCAGACTAACAATGGCAGCATTATCATTTAGAACTGAAGGAAATATTATATGTGTGCAAAGTAGAAGAATACTTCCTTTGAAACAGCTAGGAGATAGTTCTATTTTGAGCAGGTCTGCCATACTGAAATTCTAAGATAATTTATTCAATGTAAAAGAATCATGCATTTTATTTTGAATTGGGGGGGCCTATGTATGTGCTTGAAATTTTTTTAGTGTTTCCAGTACATTTTATTTTGTATACTTAAGTTCATTTCAACTTGCGTGAACCTTGAACAACAGAGAGATAATTTAACTTTTCTGTGCCATAAATAATATTTTTGGGGTAATGTACTTTTTTAGCGCTAGGAACATATCTTACAAAAATGTACCATTGGCAATACAAAGCAGTATATTTATGTTGCAGAAGCACAAAAAAGTAGCATTCACTGGAAATTGCCATATAGCTGGGTCAGCATGGTTTTGTTGTCTTTCACTATTTGTTCAGTTGTTAATTTATTGTCAGTGTTTTGTATTTAAAAAGGCAGCGTAAGTCACATTGCACTTACAAAGATACATTGATCTCTAAAACTACAGTTGATTTTCAATACTTTATTACCAAGAATAAAATTGTAATGTTTTATTAACAGTTGCTTATGGAAAATGAATGAGTTTTAATGCAAATAAATCTTTTTGATAGATCTTTTACAAAATCCAATTGCACTAATCAATGCTTTCTTATAATGGCATATGACTTAATATTTGATTACAACTGTGTATACTGCTGTTTTGGAATGTTTCAGAAATAAAGAATCTATTTCAGCAATAATGCTGTTCTTGAGTATGCAATGAAGACATTATCAGAATTTGGCAACTGACATCTATTTACCTACTGAAGTTTTTATTACTTAGCATTTAGGTTATGCTGCGTTTTTGCAAACGTATACCAAGTTCATCTGAAAATTTAGAAAAAAAATCATGTTATGGAGCTGTACTTTACATAGAAGATGGATAAATATTATTTTTAAATCAATTTTGTTACAGTCTCAAGAAAATAGTTCAATTTAGCATCTAGAATTTACAAGTACAAATGTTGTGATTTGTAATAAGAAACAGAGCTTGAATACAAAGCAAGTCCTTAGCTATGAATTTAGCCTCTTAATTACGCTTGAGGACCTGTTGTCCTTAAAAAAGGAAACTAAAATAAAAAATGAAGAAGAATTTATGAGTAGAACATTTATTAAAGTGAGAAATGATTGTATAGCAGTGCAGTAGTATTTGCAGCATGCAGCTTGATGCTGTTATTGGAGATAAAAGATTTATTTTTCACACTTATTTTTAAATCTGGTTAAAATTCGTTTTTTTCTAAAAGACCAGAGTCATTAAAGAAGGCATCAAGAAAAGTTCCAGCATGGAAATTCTCACTGCACGGTAAGTATTTCAACACGAGTGCATGGAACTCATTTTGTTCATCAGAAGATTTAATTTGAAGAAATTACTGCTGGTTAAAGAAATCAATCATTTGTGGACAATTCTGTTTTCATGGACAGTTTATCTCACTTTACAGATTGATTGTGACGGGGAAGCAGAGCCAGCTCTGGTGGTGCTTTGTGTTTGCCTGTGACATGGAGGGCTAACAACCTACAGCAGACATAGGCAAATGATCTCACTTGGGGGCTGCCTATGTCTGGGCACGACCCTGCTGAGGTAGAGCTAACCCAGCCAGACTAGACTGACCAGTTTGTTCTATGCGTTTATATGCATGTGGGTCCCAAATTAATAAGCTCTCCCGGCATCTGGTGCTGGGGAATGAGTGCAATCATTTTTATAAGAGATGGTTGGAGAAGCAGTGGTTTGCTTCTGCTCATTGCTGGCCGTATCAGGCCCGGTCTGAGTTGTCTCTTGACTGTGTTTCTTAGTGCCAGCATTTTATCCTCGTTTCTCCATTACCTGGGTTATCACAGCCCCATGTTAATCTGAATTACCTGAGATGGATTGCAGCTGCTCATAGATGGCAATAATGCGGCTGTACACAGGAGGGCAGTATATACCCTGAAAACATTTTGTTTTTAATAGCTAAAGCTTTTTTATTTCTTTTCCTGGCTTTTGTTTTGAACTCAGTGCGTATATTTCTTTCCAGTGTTGTTTACATGCCGATGACAACCTGTTAAAGAAAGATGCCGAAAAGTTTGTGATTTGAACGTTTAAATTTCACACTACAAAATGTGTTGTGAACTGGAGAATCAAGCATTTTTGATATAATGAATGCTTAAAAACATGCAGTCGTTCCTGTTTCTCCTTTATTGTTAATTATTCTGTTCCCTTTTGATACGTTCATTCATCATGTCAGGATTTGGTAACTGTATAGTTCTGCTGCTTTAAAATGTTTTTGTAAAATACACACCTCGCATCGGATGCCATCCTACTTCAGGAGGAAACCCACAATGCAAGCAGCTTGATCTCTTTTCTACACTCCTTTCAGCCATAGATTGCGACATTGCTGCTGTCTTTCTATAGCTAAGATAGTTGGCCGTTTCTCCTGAGTTTAGCGCTGGCTAACCAGATACTGCTTAACAGCGCTCAGGTGTCACATTTTTCACTGGAGTCTTTCACTGGGAGCAAAATGTATGGAATATGCAGCACAAATATTTCTGTCACTCTTGATTTTGTGTGCAGCAGAATCTCCTCCAGTGTAATGTGATGCAGTAATGGCTAGGCCATGCAGTTGTTATGCTTAAAATAAGTAAACTTGTATTTTCACAAGTTACCACAGTTATTTTCATTTCTAAATATAAAGCAGTCTTTCAGAACTCTCTCTGTGGCCCCCTTTGGTTCTTCCCCTGTCTTTTCATCTGTGAACACAAATTCCACTCTTGTCTCTTTGTTGGTGAATCCCAGAAATGACTTTCTAACCAAGACCTACCTCCTTCTGTCTAAACTGTCTTGGGCTCAGTTCCTGCACTGATGGCAGAAGCATGACTCTCAACCTTTTTTCTCTAAGCTCTCCCGTCATTTTTCAATCACTGGTGAAAACACCTCTAACTTCGCAGTCACTCAGCCCTGTAACTTGGGCACTGTCTTTGACTTTTCCACAACCTGATATGCTGGTTAAGTCCGAGTCTTGCTGACTCTGCGTAATACGTTAAAGATACTGTCCATCCATACAGATAGAACATTCATCCATGACCACCTTAACTGAAGTCTAAATTACTGCATCATCTTTTTCTTTGACATTAACTGGTACAGTCTTTTGCATCTTGGATCTGTCCAAAATACAATTATAAGATCATTCCCTATATATGAAAAAGCTCAGCGAGTGTTTAATACTTACAATGAATGATGGGTTAGCTTTCAGAATAAAAAAAGGTGAGTGACAAACACTATCTCTTAAAAACAGATTTGTTATGTTTAATCTTCAGACATGACTTGTTTCAATATTAGGAAATTCTGGATAAAAAAGGAAATGACTAAGCCTGGATCGCTTCCTCTGTCACCATTATGGTGAAAAGCTTATGTCCTGGCTGATCTGGTTTAATTTTTTTTTTTGTTCCCAGCCAATTGGAGTCATATTTCACGTGCAGTAACCCTTAAAACCCTTCTGCTCAGCCTTCCTTTCCCCATTATCTACACTTCCAGCTCTTCATCTCCCCAGATTCCTACCTTCCTTGTGACTTCTGACAATGATTACAGATTCTGGCTGGGTGCAGTTCCTGACTATCTGCTTGCAGATTTGACCCATGTTATGCTGCTGCTCTGTTCACTCTCCAGCCCCAGGAGCCAATTTTTTGTGCATCTTCTATCTCCGTCATTGGGACTTTCAGCTGTCACCTTATAAGGTAAGCAGTTATGCTTAGTCTGAGTTAATGGTAATGGAGAGAATGTTTAAAGTAAGGCATGAAGAGATGTTAACATGCTAATAGCTCTGCCAGCTGTTAATAAGAGCAAGAGTTGGTGGTCCCTTGGTGGGATCACACATGTACTTTTCTGACCTGACCAGGCTGCTGGCTATTCCAAGCACAGTTCAAGGAGTTGGTTTGACCTAAAGAGGCCTGAGAAATTATCTTTCTACTTGTGCAGTACAACACTTTACAAAGTATCTCACAGAAGGAAGGAAGTGAGAGATTAGGTAGGTTCATTCTTGAAACTGGAACTTCATTCCTCTTTTATAAAAGCCAAACTTTCAGGTGTTTTTTGTATTTACAAAACCCATTGCCCAGAAACCGAAAAATTCTGTAGGTATCAAGAGTCCTTTGTGTCTACATGGTGGCTGGCGTAATCCTTATGGCAGCTAGATTTTTGTCAGAGGGCATAAGCACAGCTATGTTGCAGCAGGCTTGGCAATACTGAGCAGTTCATGTGCTGGTGCAAAGCTCTATATTCCAGAGAATATGTGGTAACATATTCTAAACATCCCAAGCCCGTAGGGGAAAAGAGAGGAGAAGGACAGAAGTTTAGAAATCTTCACATGAAACCTGTTCTGGCTGCCATTTTCTGAGCAAGAGCCCTGTACATAGTTGAAGTGTCATTATATGTTATTGATTATAGAATCAGATCCCGGATGCCTTTTGGTTGCAACTAGCTGAGGTGGCTCCCCAATCCATTTCATAGCATGTGTAAATAAAGGCCAGTTCCTTTGTCTGTACTCTGTGCTAGGGTTTATTAATCTGGGCATATTAAGAAGCATGATGTAGTACCTTGAGCACAGCATAAGATGAAAGCCATAATATGGTTCTGGGTGAGATTTGGCTCAGTTGTTTTACAGGAGAAGATACGTCCTCAACCATTCATGTAGGCATGCTCATGGGCATCTTATCTTGTACTGTGAGCATATAGTGCATATAGTTCCCCCGTGGACATATAGTTCCTCTGAGTTTAGTAGCTTTTATTCCTCAGTAAAAGAAGGTGAGACTATTGAAGTGATGTTTATGAATACAGATAGAAGGGATACTGAATTCTCTTCTGCGCTATTTTTACGAAGAACATATGAACCTAGATCTAGAGAGGTAAATAGTGCACGCATTCTTGCTTCATTTTTTGAAATAGTGCTAAACACATTTCTTCTTTCATACATTACCCTGGGTAGAGTATGAAATAGTAGCAGACAGAGATATATATGTGTAAAAGCAACTGACTGTCTTTACAATAGACATGAAAAATGGATGAACAGATAGATTAGTCTCTCTAAACTGTGTTAAGAAGTTTGGGCAATGAATGGTGGTTGGCCTTCAAACTTTCTGTAGAGAACTTTCAATCATAGACCAAAAAAAAAAAGTTGTGCACAATGTGCAGATTGGGTATAACCGTACGTAGACAGACTGTAGATAATACTCACAGACAACTGAATTACTCTTACCTAAAAAGAAATGTCACAAAGCACAAACAAAATGAAGGCAATTCTATCACTGCTCTCTCTCTTAACTATGTGACGATGCACTGCTGAGTTCGTTCCCCTGTATATAAAGGGGATGGACATCTGAGATTGATTGGGCCACAAAACTTGTTCTTGTGGCTGGGCAGAAGTAAACCTCGTGGCTCCAGACTAGAGTAGATTTGGTCATATGGTGTGGAATAGCAGCATGCATTCACCCACATGCAGGAGTCCTGCCATGAGGAGCACAGAGCCTGCCATGCACGTTACCCAGATGCACGGCTGTCACTGTCAGCTAAGCTCATGTAGGTACCAGAGATCTAACAGTTTCCTTGCTTGTTAAGTGGAATGCTTGAAAAAGGCTAATTATTCGAGCAGGGTCCAAGTCGAAAGTGATACTCAAATACATTGTTTTTGTTCTGTGAGCATAGTCAAAGGATAGTATTTTGTCATGTCAGGCA